TCGGTGTCAGAATCTCACCGAGATTCACCCCCCAAAACCCTTTCAAGCTGATCTATCTTTTAATCTGACTCATTTTTTCTAAAACTTCTTCAAAATTTCTAAATCTAAATCTAAAAATTTTAAAACCCAAAAATATCAAGAACACTTTTTTTGCTCACTTTTCTTCTGTAATTCTTTTTCACTTTTTTTTTCTTCCCCTTTGTTGCTGTGTTCCTTTGGGGTTTTTATAGGTGTTTTCTTATAATCTTGATTTCATTGTGAATCTTTGATTTTATTTTTCTTGATTTATTTTATTTCATGGGACGATATTTTTATATAAATTTTTTTGATTTGTCGGATGATTTTAGGGATTTCATTGATCTTTTTCCTTTTTTAATTAAACTTTTTTTCTTTTGGTCAAATTTTTTTATTTTGATTTGCTGTCCTTTTTTGTTTTGTTTGAACTTTATTTATGCGTTTTTGCCTTACTTTTGTTGTTTGTGGGCTTACCAACCCAATGCCATTTTTTTATTGAATTTTGATCCATTTGGTTTACAAACACATTTGGATTATAAACCCATCATTCCTAAGGTCAAAAATTAATCAAAATAAAAATAAAAAATACACCAAAAATAAAATAAATAGAAAAAAAATAAATAAATAAAGTAAGTGGTCTGATACTAACATAAGAAAGCTGCTTAAAGAGTTTAGATACTTTAATGTTATACCTGTAAGTACTTTTTATGACGTTAATACTCAATTAAAGAAAAATAAATATGATAATATGGCTCAGTTTTAGTATATTTAGGTTATTTAGAGTCTGATGTATTTGATGAATTATATTCGACTTGATATAGTTTATGTTATGTGTAGATTAAGCAGATATACACAATCTCAATGGAGATTATTGGATTGTTTTGTGTAAAGTAATAAAATATTTGAGAGGTACTACAAATTATGATATTTTTTATAATAGATTTTTCACTATATTAGAATAATACAGTGATGTTAATTGGATCTTAGAGTTAAATGAAACAAAATCTATAAGTGAATATATATTCACCCTTAGTGGGTGTGCTGTAACTTGAAAATTAGTCAAACAATAATAATTACTAAAATTATAATAGAATTAGAATTTATAGTTTTGAAGTTGATTGATAATGGGGCTGAGTGGTTAAGAAATCTTTTAGCAGATATTTTGTTAGGAATGAAATCAACACCTTCTATATCTATGCATTATGATTGCCAAGTGGTAATAGCCATTGCAAAAAGTAAAACTTTTAACAATATAAATAGACACATTCATTTAAGACATGATGTGGTAAAATACCTGTTTAGAGATGAAATTAGGTCTATTAATTATGTGAAGTCAAAATTAATTTAACCGATCCTTTAACTAAACCTTTGAGAAAAAAATTAATTAATGATACATCGAAGGGAATGGGACTTAAGATAATTGAGAAAATCAACAATAATGGCAACCTAATCTATATGAATGGCGATCCCATAAATTAGGTTCATATGGGTAATAAGAAGTTATTTGTTGATAAATTGATGTACTATTAAAATTATTATCCCTCCCATGGTGTGTAAATAGTGCAAAGATTGTAATGAAGAAAAGGTTGAGTTAAACTCTTAATGAATTCCATAAGGTATATTAAATTGCAATATACACTTGATAAAATCACTTATATAAGTGTGGAGTGAGGCTACTCCTATAAGAATTGTGATAAATTTTCTAAACACTGATGAATAACCAAGCATGCACATGGCCTATTTGCACAAAACTGTGTTGAACAGCAAAAAGTATGGAAGTGTAATGTGATTGATGAAAATAATATTTCACATAAAGAATTTTTGGTTTATATAAGTTATAAACTTCACTAAAATTTTATCATTCATATTTCATTCTTTCTAAGCCTAGTTCATAACTCAAAAAGCATCAATCTCGATATATTACACTTGAGTGAGATTAGACCTAACAAAAATTTCCTATTATGAAACTTTATGAAATATGTGGAGTATTGTTGAAAATATAGTGAAATCTCATAAGGTTTCTATCTCATATTACTTAGGAACAAAATATGTTAATGCTTTATATAAGCAAACTCATTATATGTTTGTTGTAAGCAAGAAAAGAAAGTGGGCTCACACACATACGAAATCAAGCTAAGCCTTAATAAAATGTGAATGCTCCCCTGCACACAAATATACTCGTGGGTTAAGCCCAAGTGATATTTCTTTAACTGTTTGATTCTGTTAACATTATAAAGATGTGGTCTTTGATTTTTTAAGTAATGTTAAAATATCTTTCAAAATATTTTTTATGATGTCTCAGTCGTTATTCTCTATAAATACCAACCTTTACGTTCATTCTCAACACACCACAATTCTCACTGCTTCCTTTTCTCTGCTTAGCCTTGTTGGGATTTTTTTTTAATTTTTTATTATTTCTGTATCTTTTGTAGTTTACGCAAACTAAAAAAAAAATCTATTAAATTTTAGAGATAATCGTTTTAATCTTTTTGCATTAAATTTCATACTTTAAAAAGATAAAAATTATCCTTAAAAAAAATATATCACTCCCCAAACTAGTTTGACTTGTCATCTGCTTTGATCTTTACCCAATATGCGCATGCAAGTATCAAAGTATTTGGTCGGGTTCTTTAATTTGACAAGTATGAATTATTTTAGCTCCTCGGCCTGCCAAACTCCGTACTTGATGACTACTACAACTTAGAATAGGGTTAGGAAGGATTGTCTATTTAGCCTTCCACTCACACCGACACTGACAATATATTCCTCATAGTCTTAGAGGACAAGAACCAAGCAATAACAGCTCAACATTTGATATCTTGGATGTGATAGCTTATGGCTCGTTAACAAAGTTAGGTAAGACCTTCGTAATCCGATATACATCATAAATGCATTTTGCCTTTGTTCAAATTTCAAACCCATCAACTTCGAACTCCCATGAATTATAATCTTATATCCCAACAACGCCGACAAATATCAGTCCTTAGGGACCCCATAGATAGACCCTTTCTGGTTTCTTTCTTTTTCCTCTTCCTCACTATTTTTACAAGAATTTGTTGGATTGGAAAAGGAGGAAAGTGCGAATTTCGTATAGAAGTTTTCTCATTAGAAATGGAAATAGTATATTATTATAAAAAGTACAAGAGGGAACACATAACCTCTTCTTGTGATGTTAATTAATGATTGTGTAGTCTTAACAAGTAACCAATTGTGGAGGGAATTGACAGGTTGTCAAAGACAGTTTCCACAAACATTTGTCTTTGGCTATGTATTGGCTCTTTCCATGTAAAGTCCACTATTAAATTTCCCCACGTTACAGAAAAGAAAAGTGCGTCTAACCTGACTCTATTATTTAATTTCTTGTGCTTTATTTGTAAATTAAGACAATCATTTGAAGAAAAAAGTTAGGAATTTTAGTTACCTTTAAGAGAAATAGGCAAGAATATCAGACATTGACAAATAATAAAGTCTCTCTCCACCGAAAGTGAATTGTCAGTTCTTGCTGTTGAAGCTTTAAAGTTTGCATATTATTCCCAACATATATTTACAGTTTGTTTCTGCAACAAGCTTTCGGTTTTACTTCATACGCATTGGTGGAATTGGTACATATTAACCCCAATTTTAAGTAGCAATCACAATTTTGAGTTCTGGGTTCTCCTGATCAGCACTTCTAAATTTTTTTTTTACCTTCATTCAATGCTATAAGTTACATATTAATAAGTTGCTTTTGTAGTTAGCATTTATTGAGTTGTGCTCAAGCTATATGTCACAGGTCCATATTTGAAATAAGTCTTTTATTTATTATCTTACGACACACTTCATTTCTTATTAATATGAGATTCATAATGTTTTACTTTATCTACATGTGCAATGCTTTTGTTAAGATTTGGATTTGCTTATAGAAGTCCAACATCAGTAAAGATTTGAATTTGTTATGATGCTCATCTTTTCTACTTAACATTTATCTTAGGTAGAACAAAAATTCTTATTTATTGATTTAATATCCATCTCATCTCTTATTGATGAGGACTTGTTACATGTGCACAAGCTTAATGCTAATTATGATATATATGACACCTTCTCAATAAATGTCTAATTTTCATTTTTGCGAAAAAGGAAAAAAAAAACTTGAACTCAACATAAGTCACTTGGAGGCCACACAACTGTCACTTTAACAAGAATTTATAACTAAAATTTTCCTTTTTTTCATTATGAGATCAGAAAAATTAATTTTTTTTAACACATTTGTATTTGTATTAATAAAAACAAAAATTTACAGATATGTCGATCAGATCTCTAATTTTATGAAATCAAAAAATTAATTAATTTGGTGCGGGATAAGATGTTACATCGAGACAAAACTTAGCTTTGAAATTATTTGTAAAACTTAACGAGTAATCAAAAAGGAAGCCAAAATCATATTGGTTGACCCATAACCAGAAGGAAAAAGTCAAGTTTTTAGTTTTCGGCCTTTTTGTTTGTCATATTCATCTTTGAGATTTTGACCACATTTTTAGGGTTTCTAAATTCATCGCTTGCTGTGTTTAGTGACCCATCCCTCACCTCTCTAGCCGACCTCAATCCAGGTTCGCCTCATCCGCCCCAACCTCCGCCTTAATAACAACCCAAAAAAATAAATGGTAATTAAATTGATTTCTCAGATTTTTTATTAAATTAATTAATGAGTTTTGATGATGAGCGGTATTAATTTGTACTTATAGCGATCTACCATATTATGAATGTGTTGTCTTTGTTAGTATATGCAAATTTTAATTATTTCTTTGTAAGATCAAACACATGCGTATATATCACATAAAATCCCTACCTTGATGGTAGTAGAGAATTGTGTTATTGCAAATTCATGTGACAAACCATTAACATACAATAAAATGAAATCTTCATTATTCATAACAGAATTTCATTGTGATTTTAAAAGATTATATGGTTCTTCTATAAATATGATACATTATCATAGAAAATCAAATATAAAGTGAGATTTCAGCAAGTTAGATTAGTTCCCATGATATTATTGTTTGCCTTCCCCTTGCAGTCTGTTCCTCTGTGTAGCAAAAGTTCCTGCTTGCTTTGGACAATAAATTAATTATGTATTAGTAATTAGTATTGGACAAGAAAATGCCTTCCCCTTTGGACTCTAGGGCGGTGAGAGAAAATATTGAGCAAAGTCCCCAAGAAAAGTTAGCTGGTAGTTACAATACATTTATTGATCTCGGCTGGCCATTACTTGGGGTTTCTTTCTCTCTGTTTCCCACTCAAGCTGTACCTTCCATATAACCGCCAACACCCACCTCTCTCTCCCTCTCTCTCACCATTAACAATCTTTTGTCAATCTCACTTCTTTTATTTCCTACTCTTGATTAGCCTTTAGCCTTCACCCCTCACCCGCAAAAATGGCAGCTAAGCAGATCGTTGCCGCCGTTGTTGTCACCATCTTTGTACTGACATTCTGCAGCGGCACCATGGCACAGGCGCCGGCACCTGAGCCAACTGCCGAGGCACCAAGCGCGGACTGTTTCACCAACTTGTTGAGCTTGTCGGACTGCTTGACGTACGTGGAGGCCGGTAGCAATTTAACGAAGCCCGACAAGCCTTGCTGCCCAGAGCTGGCGGCGCTTGTAGATAGCACTCCCCAATGTTTGTGCTATCTGCTGGATAAGAATGCCACTTCTAGCTATGGGATCAACATTGACATGAAAAGGGCTCTGAATCTTCCCACTATCTGCAAAGTTTCTACTCCTCCTGCTAGTCTTTGCTCAGGTAATTTCTTTTGCCCTTTAATGAGCTAATTCCCTTAATTTCTTTTGCGATTCAGAACCTTTGATTTAAGAAAATCTTATCAATTATATGATAGAAAATATACAAACAAGTTGGTCCCAGTAAATGTGTTGTCGTGAGGCTAAAATACAAACAAAGGTTTGAATTATTAATTATCCAACTATATAGAAAAAAAAAACACTAATGGTTGAATTGGGATTCTTCTCTACTTTGTTCACGAGGCTACACATATATTACCTTTTTTGTGTAAAATTTTCATACAAAGTCTCATTTATTTCTCTAATGTTTTAGATATTGATGATGTTAATTATTCTTTTGATGAGCAAGAACTTAAAGCTCTTTCTTCTTTGTTTTTGCCGATTCGTGTTACTCTTTTTTAGTACTTCTCCTCCTTCATTTGCTGTATTAACGCAAAGTATTAAAAACAACACAATATGGACATTACACATGGGTGGGCTATGCATAGTGTAGTTATATGTAGATCTCAACTTTTAGTATGGCAAAACAACAATCTAGTCATTATTTGGCAAAACCACCTTCTAGATTTAGATCGGAATTATGAAATATGTGAAAGGTATAGTGAAAATTACCAAAAAGAAAATCCTAAGGAAATACGGCACTTTTATGAGGGAATTTAGTATGCATCTGTCTGGATTGGTACCCCACCGGTGACCATATATTGCCCATATCATAACTCTCCACAACCAATCCTAACGCTGGCAGCAAATGCACGTTGTTTCTGCTTCTTCCACTCTCTCATCATTCATTTTGGGTCCACATTGTATCCACTTTTTAGGGGCCTTATTTATTTGACACCTGCCACTCAACCGTTTTCTGGGCTTCTTCACTTTAGTTTTGCGTCTGGGTTCCTTGCTTGTAAACGGATAGCTACTCCTCATTTATTAGACCTAAACTAGCTACAACACTATAGATGTGGGCAGCTTAATTGAAAGCTCATTACTCAAAGTCTAAAAAAGTCAAATCTCGCTCCTACTATTTGAATTAAAACAGATATACATGTCTATCATCATTTGTAATTAATTGATTGTCAAATGATATCAATTGTTTAATTGTTTGTACCCAAGGGAAAGGCAAAATTGAAGCGAGAAGAAAAAGGAAAGAATTATTATTTTTAAACACAAAGCCAGAACTATGCTTAAACAGCATTGACTGAGCACAAGGGAAAGCGAGACGCCAGCTTTGCCTGATCGGGGATCTGGGGTTTTGCCCACTTCTTTGCCTCTCATTTATGGCCATTTAAGATTCTGGGTTTGCTCTCACCTAATATCACGTGCACTGTCCTTTTTATTATAAATTTGAAATATAAATAAATGAATCACGTGCTCAGTGATTGGCCTTAAGATTTGGATAAACCAAACCCATCAACAGAATCATTCCGTTTGTCACCAAAGTTTTTTATATTATTTTTTTTTTATTGCCATTTATATTTTTTCCAGTATTGTAGTAATCTGTTCATTCCATAATATTCTTTTATTTACATATTTTTAGTTATCTTAAATTAATGTCTCCTGCGAATTTTTTTTTAAAAAATCATTTTTACTGCCCTTTATCATTTTCAACTATATAATTACTCGTCAATATAATATTATCTGGACGATAAGAGATCTGGAAGTTTTAAGTCTTACGTGGGTTTAATCCAATTATATGTTACTTTAAATTGACATTTAAATATTTAATTTTGTTAGATATATGTAGTAGCACATACCATTCCATGTTTAAATATAACATTACTTTCGTTTCATTCTACAGTCATCACTGGCGCCCCAGCTGAAAGTCCAACCGGAAATGGAGGATCTACGTCACCTGGTAATTAATTTTTTTTAAAGCTCTAATTTCTAAGTTACTTTACAACAAAATGGGCTAAGCTTAGCAAAATTAAACAAGATTAATGTATATGTTTGATCCCTAATGCAAGAAAGAAAGTATATTTTCAATATTGAAATGGATCAACATCTGGATTTTCAAATGGCACAGGTAAAATTATTGGATTGGATAGATGTATTTTGAAATAGAATATATATGCTAAAGAAGATTATCCAAATGTCGAATTAAGTCTACAATCATTAGTGTTACAGACTCAGTGCAACATTACAGTTAAAACTCAGCACAGAATAGGACTTAACAAATGGAACATATATATATCCTGCATAATAGAAATCAAGTTTACCTTTAGTTTGTCAAATTCCTAGCTCATCCAAGATTAACTTTGATCTAAGGTGGGGTTAGTCATGGCTATCTTGAATTCTATCTCTCTAGATTGATAACAAAATATGGTTTAAAATTAACTATTTACGTATTTTTAATATTTAACTAATCACTGTGGAAAACGAATTGAAAATGGCCAGGTCTTGCCCCGCAAGGATTAGCTGCCAGCCCTTCGAGTGGGAACAACAATGGAGCTTCAAACATTGCAGTCTCTGGTCTAGCTTCCCTTGTTGCCTTGGCAATTACCTTTCTGCCCACACTTTTTGGGATTTAAATTCTTTTGCCATGGTTGAACTTAGTTTCCTCCATTATTTATATACTGCTTTGTTCAGATATTCCGTGTCAAGTATTATTATTATTATATATATATTTTTTGAGAGAGAGAGACTGTGTCTGGTACGTAAGTTACCAATAACTTGTAGGAGTTTGTTATGACATTTATTTCTTTAAGGCTGTACCATTGTTCTTTGCAAACACCTTATGGTTCTAGCTCTATTATCCATTCAATATGTTTAAATCCAATCTTCCCCAATTAACCAATGCCATTGTCACAAGCTGAATTTTTCATTAAAAGTTTTTCTTTTTAATGTATTATAAACTTATCACTCTCTGTGTTCGATTATATTTATTCTTTATTTACTTTTTTTTGTTAAAGAAACTCAATTTTGACCATTACTTTCAACAAAAACGCAAACTTGTTAAATTTTGAGAAAAAGAATCCAAATCCTCTGCCCCCAATCCCTACCCCATTCTGTGCCCCTTCTTTGACAAAGTGACATGTGTCTATTTTTTCAATTACTAATTAATACATGTTTGGATTTAATCGTTTTATCTCCTTTTTTTTTTTTCACGCATTTCCTATTTTCTCTCACAAAACGACTGTTCCTCCATATCAATAAGCAGATAATGCCTTTTTGCAAAAAATTTACTAGTTAATATTGCGATAAAAGATACAGTTTAGTATTGACTGGATCTGCAAATTAAACCGACAGTAGCAGCAATTATATCATCATCCCTCCCTGCTAATCTCCCTTACGACCACCAAATTTGAGATCATGAACTGATAATAAAACTGTTTGGAAGAGATAGGCATAGAGAATTAGGATAAGAAGAAGAAAGAATTTATTTATTTAAGATTTCTAAGTAGCGGAATAGAAGAGAAAGTGGAACGAGAAAGGAATCGTTAAGCTTGAGAGCAGAATTTGGGTTTTGCCTTTTTTTTTTTCCTCTTTTTTATTGATCTTTTAACAAATTTGATCCCTTTCTTTGTATACAGAGAGCAAAATTTGGGTTTAGCCTTTCTTTATTTTCCTTCTTTTTTATTGGTCTCATAATAAAATCTAATCCCTTCTTTTATTATTCTGAGAGCAAAATTTGGGTTTTTGTTGATTTTTTCACAACAAAAGAAAATCTTAATTTGCATCGATGAGGATAGGAAGAGACAAGTTCATGTTTGTCTTGCCGGAACACACAAGCAGAAGATCACCATTTTATGAACATCCGCTGATAAAGGAAGAAAAGAGGAAATAAGAGATTAAAAGATTAAAGCCAAACATGTATTAATTAGTAATTAAAAGATAAGTCGGGTGTCCATGTGCTAATAGAGAAGAAACGAGATAAAAGATTAAAGCCAAACATGTATTAATTAGTAATAAAAGATAGACAGGTGTCACTTTGTCAAAGAAGGGGCACAAGATGGAGCACGATTGGGGGCACAGATTTGGATTCTTGAGAAAAAAAAAAAACTCACAATGTGTAATTTGGAGAAAAAATGACAAATGTCATATGAGAAAAGTTAAACCACGAGAAGCATGTATGGAGTTTACCTACTTTTTAATAATAACATGTATGGAGTTAAACCACAAGAAGCATGTATGGAGTTTACATTAAGAATGGCCTCATCTGGAAAATGGCTTTCTTTATCACTTTTTGGGGAATCTGGCTTGCAAAGAACAAGTTTTCAGTGGTAAGGAATGGGATACTATGATGTTATTTGAGCTGACAAAAGCCAGAAAGGTGTGGTGGATTAAGGCCAAATGGCCTAACCTTAATTGTCAGTGGGTGATCTGCACCTGTCAATGCAAATCGTTAGGAATGAAGCAAAAGAATTTATGGATGGCACACATACCTCGTGTTGCGTAGAACTCAAAGGAAGATTAGTCTTTGAACCTGTAAATGGCATATAGAATTTTGGAGATGTAGTGATAGATATCCATGAACTAGTAGTGGAAGGTTGGACACATGAGAGACTATTATCCAAGTGCTTATATGGAAACCTACTTTCATTAAAAACAACAAGGCGAGATACATAGGTTTTATAAGAAATAGCATCAGAGCAAAGATAGGCACTTTGATGTAAAGAATACCCAACAAAGACACCTCTTTAACTTTGGTTGCATTTTGTTTGTATATAAGGACGTATCCAAGGGTAACATGAGCAACCAAAGGTGTGAAGCTTATTGTAATTATGTAATTTGCCAAATAAAGCTTGAGAAGGAGAAACTGAATTCAATACTAGAGTAGGCAAGCGATTAATTAAACATACAACAGTTTTAAAGGCAAAAGTCCAGAATGATAAAGGCATGGAAGCTTGGTGAAGAAGTGTAAGCCCTGTCTCAACAATATGATGATGTTTTCTCTAAGCTATTCCATTATGTTGTGAGGTGTGAGAAAGAGTTTGAAGATGTGATACCAAAGGTGTGGAAGTTTGGAAGTAATTTCATATATTCATACTCTCCATCTCTATAAATAAACACAATTAAAGTATTAAAAAAAATTTTCAACAATACTTTCGAATTTAAAGAATACAATAGACAAATGAGACTCACGTTACATAAGAAATAACCATATATAACGAGTGAAATGATCGTCATAAATTACAAAATATCGAAAATCATCATATGAGAGCATTGGGGTTGGTCCCCAAACATCATAATAAATAAAGCCAAGAGGCCTTTACTAGTCAATGATGAATCATTGAAAGGGAGCCTATGGCTCTTATTACAAGCACACGAATGACAGATAGAGGATTTTAGGTAACTTAATGTCAAAAGGTAGAGAACATGATTTAACTAAAAAATCTAAGATGAAAAAAGATGGATGCCCTAAGCAATCGTGCCAATTTACTTGAGAAGTTTTAACACTAATATGAACCTGGGCTGTTCAACAGACGTAGAGATTGCAATTGATTGTGGCCATTCATACACCCTGTGCTTGTTCAGGCCTTTGAACAGTGGTGCTCTCGTGCGTAATTTTACAAGAAACAATAGGAAAAATTCAATGGACTTGTTATTAGTTTTACAAAATTTAGAGATAAAAGTAGGTTTTATGAATTGATGGAACATGTAAAATATTGAAAAGAGAAGAGGTTCTCGATGGAGTTGTAAAATGGTGAGTCCAGTATGGGTAATTGGTAAACCTGAACCATCGCCAATAACAATTGATCAGTACTATCATAGTCTGGATTGAAAGATTACTTAGATCACTTGTAACATGGTGGGAAGCACCTGTGTCAACTAACTGGTCGGATGACTTAGTTTGAGAGCAGTAGTGAAATTTGCCATTATAGGATCCTGTGAACGCTAGGCCCGAAATTGAGGATACTTTTAGCAACATGACCTGGTTGATTACATAATTGGCAGAAAAAGTATATGAAGGGATGTGATTGTTGCAGCGATAAGTGAAACGATTTTTGCTGTCAAGAATTGTTGTTTCGCTTGTAGTACTTTGAATAGTTACTTGTCCGATGATGTGGAGGTTGATTCTTGAATGAAGCTTCGATGTTGCTTTTGTTGTAATTTTTTTGTCCTTGTTTAGAGTGATTATTAGAGCTAGTGCATTCTCCTTGATTTGAATTATAGGAACAAGATGCATCATTTGCAGTGATGAGGCGCAGAACGATTTTCCTCTCGCTTAAGATAATCTCATATTCAACAAGCTTATCATAATTTCTTCAAAAGAAATAGTGGTTTCACGAGCTTGGACAGCAGCAAAAATTTCGCGATACTCGGGGCCTACACCATTCAAACATTAGATACCTTAACACAAGTTCATCTGCAATAGTTTTGAGATTTTGCATATATTCTACAACAGATTTGTTGTCCCTTGGAACATAAAGCTTATCTTTCAATGTCATTACTCTGATAGAGGGCTGCTTAGCATAGAGCCATGAAAGCTTCTGCCAAGGCTCAGAAGAAGTTTTGGATCAGGCTATGAGGAGAATTAAGGGCTCTGAAACTGAAGCAACAATGGCATGATGCAATAATTGATCCTGCTGTGACCAATAAAGAAAGGCAGGATTTAGCTTCTCCTTGTTATCATTAATTAGTTATTGTTGATGGCGGACAAGGTTTTGAACTACCAAGAAACCTCGTGAGATTGTATTTATGGATATCAAAGAATTTGAATCATTGAGAGTAGGAGTAAGTGACCAAGTTTGAGAGCTGTTGGCCATAATAGAATGTGCTTGTTAATAATAGAACGTGCTTGTTAAAGCCGCAAACGCTATGATACCATAAAAGATAAATATGATCAGTTGCAATTTACTATATTAATTTGTACATAGAGATATTATATTTATAGACCTCTATCATATTACAAGATAAGAGATATTTAAAATGTACAAATAACTCGTACAGGAAGATTTATTTAAATTGAAATACTAATTATTCTATCTTCTATTCAAGTGCCGTTATTCCTTCACAATTATGAGGTCGCCTAATGAAGCTAGGACTCCCTTAGCGCACGGTAGAGTAAGGAGACTTATGAATTGGGCAAGACCGGTAGAGCGTCACTCGGTAATCCAGGCAATGCTGGCATTGGGGTAATCCTTGGATACTCTAGAGGGTCTATTCTTGCTCTGTTTTCTAAAGAAGTGGGGGTAATTGATTCCAATATGGTAGAAGCTTTGGCTCTGAAAAAGCTGTTGTCACTTTTTCTGTGTCAACATGGAAAGACTGTAATTTTGAGATTGAATCTGATTCTGCTAATGTGGTCAAATGGATCCTAAATTCCCATGAGGTACCCTGGACAATGAGACAACTTTTCATGCTGATAGCCAACCCGCTTAGTCTGCTTACAAGGTGGAAGATCAGACATATACCCAGATCAACTAACATTGAAGCTGATAGTCTTGCAAAAAGAGGTGTACTGAGGACACTTGATTTTATTTGGATTAATCATGACTATGAACCGCCCCCTTTAGGAAACTGAAAATGTATAGCTGGTTCCCCCTCTGTGTAGTGCGCATATGTTTGCTTTTGATTTTTTGTTGTCAAGGGAAGGTTTGCTGGGTTTTTCTGACCTAGTGTTTGATTGGGATGTTTATGTTTTTTGGGAGTTTGTAATCTGTGTTCTGGTACCAGCAGGTCTGGATGAGAGGGTGGTGCCGACCGTATGTGGTAGACTTGGCGGGGACAGACAACGGTTCATGGGGCTGGGGCGATCTGTATATTGATGTTGTTTGAGGTATAAAGGTATAGCATTAATTTCAAAAAAATAAAAGACAGCTCATAGGCAAAAGAAAATATTTGATTACGCTTATCAATTCGTCAAACAAAATGGTACGACTTTTGATTATGGTAAAAATGATTTTCTTTTTCTTTTCTATGAAGATTCCACTGCCATCAAATCTTTCCGATGATTCGTTCAGATCTCCCAAATCTCTCTGTGTCTCACCGGTGGTTAATTCCATTTCTAGCAAAAATAGAAGTGTAAAGCTTAGCAGGTTTGGTTATAGTGTTGAGGGAAACATAAGCTAAGAAATGAAAGACTTTAAACCTCTCGAATTCTATTGAATTCGTTACTCAGAAAGAAAAAGAAAAAGAAAATTTACCAAATACAAATTTGGTCGATGGATTACGAACCTCTAAATTTCAGCAGCAGCAATGTAAAAATCCTTGACTCTACGTACAATACTTCTCCTTTTCAATTAGAAATCTGGGGTTTCAAATCCAGTTTTTTGGCTCAATCAACGGATACATACTCAAATATTCTGGCGCGGCTTAATGATACGCGTCTATAAGATAACATGAGCAGTTAGATCAGAGCCTGCAGCTCACAGATAACCATTACATAATTTCTTGGCCAAGTCTTTTAAACAAATAATAAATAATAGAAAGAAAAATTATATATGTTGAGAAATTGAGAAGAAAGGGAGAGATTGAGATTAATCTCTTTGGAAATTTTGAAATTTAAAGTTATCCCAAAAACGTAAATGAAATAATCTATGACTTTGATATTACAAAGATATAACATTTGCCATTTCTATTTCAGTGTAATCAATATTAGCCTTTGGATCCAAAGCCATTTTCTCAAGTCGAAGAAGACTACTAGTTGCCAAAATTGCCTTAGCATCAATGTCATGCAAAGACCTCATGTACAAACTGTTTATTGCTGAAGAAGCCGCATCAAATAGATCCTTACTACCATGAGGACCCAAAAGGCAATGCCCCAAGATCCTCAAAGTAGGCTGCAATAGTTCCCATGGCAAGGGAATCCTTCCTTCTTTCTTCTTTACCGTATGCATCTCATTGCTACCATTATTCTCACCATGATCTTCTCCACCATCTTTGAAATTCTCCCTGTCTTGACCTGCCCAAATCTCGCAAAACTCACAAAACTCAATCTTGGAAGTCACTGGCATTTGAGATATCTTGCTGTAATACAATTCTAATGCGACACCAACGATCCTGGGTCTCCTTGTCGACCGCATTGTTCCATGAGGCTCCAAAGTGGAAGATGTGACCGCTAGGTTTAGCTCGGTTGCTTTGTTTTTGATAGACGGCTTGGCTTCATGATAAATGCTAGGTTGTGACAAATCCGGAACATGAACGGTCATCGGTTGGTCTCCACGAGCAGTAGTTTCATGTGCGTAAAGGGCTAATAAAATAGCCTCGAAACCAGCCAGGGCTTTACATCGAGAGATGCGGGAGAGGTAGACTCCGGCGATGATGGGAATGAAACGAAGGACGACGAGTTGGAGTTCAGGGTCCGTTGAATGGAAGGTGTCATAGAGCCAGCGGCATAGGTTGTTATCGCCGGAGCCAGAGTCAGGGTGGCGTAGGAGGGAGGAGATTGGGGAGGAGATGGTAGAGTCGTGTAGGAGCAAAAAGGAAGGGTTTGGGGAGGAAGAGAGAGAGGAAGGGATGGAGGAAATGATGGAGGAAAGCGACTGTATGGATGATTGTGTTTGGGAAGATGGTGGTGGTGGTGTTTCTGAGGTGGTGACACCGGTCGGGGTGATGGTGATGTTTGGGGCAGCGGTGGCTGTGGGGGAATCGGAGTTGGAGGAGGAGGAAGAAGAGGAGCCGTCAGACATTGGTTAAGAAGAATGGGCAGGAAGAGAGGAGAAGACTCGGCAAAGGGAACAAGGGAAATAAGTTAAGGTGGCAAAGGAGAGCAGATAATTAAGGAGGAAAACTAGGATCATCTTTTACTTGCTAAATAAGATCCATCCATCTTTTATTCATGTGCACTGTCTGCTTTGATCTAATATCTACCCAAAAAATTCAAATCAAATCCTACAATTCAATTTTTAACATTTTGAAATAAAATTAAAATTACCAAATTGGAATAAAAAAAATAAAACAAATCAACGAGGTATATACTTTAATTAGTGATAAATGAGTACATTCAAGTAGTCACCAAAGGAGGAACTTGGAGTAGAGAGAACTGTTACAAATTAAAAGGTGAATTAAAAAGGGCTACTTATTGCCAAAGTGAAATCATTGTTATAGCAAAGGTTATTTACAAGAGGCTACTTGTCACTATAGTGAAAACTGCCTAATTAATTGAGACGAACATCACCGACGATACCTAAGCTCCAAAACCCGGTGATTTATTATTAGTTTTTTTTTTTATGTATCAAATCCCAAATTAAAAGAAAATTGAAATTTATCAATTTATGAATAAGTCAACATACTTCATTATATATAAATAAAAGTTTAAAGTTCTATCAATAAGTTTTTATCACAACATCCGAACATTTGGTCCATTGATTAATACATAATTTATTTACTTAAAAAAGTATGAGTTTGAATTTTCCTTCTTACAAAAAAAAAAATTATCACATCTTGTGAGACAAATAATTGAGATAAAAGAGTCGAGACAATTAATATTTTTCATCAATAATTAATTTAATAGATTGAGATTTTATATCCGACTCTATAGTCTTAAACTACGTGTTTGATCTTCTTACGTGGTGGATTGCCGAGTGCATAAGGGTATGTAACATTTGATTAATGAATACTTGCATAATTTAAGAGGAAATCAAATAAACATGAAAGAAATTAATCTGATTCTCTTAGAAGTTACAATGTTGAAACTGAAGATGGATGATACTCTTGAACATCTAAATGAATGATATAAAGGTGTAAGTATCCCCATTCAATAATTGGATATTCAAACATATTTTACTTAATCAAAAAAGAAGATAAAGCGAAATTAACATGAGAGGTTGGGGAGGCTCTAGAGTGGCGCTAGCAAAACACAGCTTGAGATCACGAGAGAGGGCTGGAACAGCACAGTATGGTAGTTGGAGAATGGGACTCTTCACAACATACGTGGGGAACTTAAGCCTAAGGGTATGTTGGAAAGCATTGAAAGAAGTTTTCGAGCTATATGGAAATTAAGGTCGTGGAGGTGTAAGGTGTTCATCCCTAGAAAAAGAAAGGCTAGTCAAGGGAAGGATCTCAAAGTTCGATTCTGTTATATACAAAACAGAGGCTGAATCGTAGAGAGTGACAAGACCAAGGGACAACAGAAAAAGAGATGGTAGAACTGTCAAAGTAAACAAGGCTGCCTATGGGTGGGAGGAAAGGGGAGGGAGCTACACGTACGAACGATGGAAGAGCACAGATGAAAAAGCAAAGCTTTTTATGACATTCGCGAGCAAATAGCGAAGAATAATGAGAAGGCGCTAGAGAAGTGCAAACAAATGAAGGAGAATAATGATATTAGTAAGACCTTTTATGGAAACGAATCATGCAAATGATGAGAGGCATTGTGGTTCCTCCACGCACCAGGCAGGCACTTTCGATGGGAGCCAGGCTGCAAGAGCAAACACCGACAGCCCTTCGTGTCATTTTGTATAAATTTTGATATATTTTCAGTAAAAATTATTATAACGAACTTTAATTATTTCAAATTTGATAACAACGGATGATAATTTTTTTTGTGCATAATTGTTTTACATGAAAAATTTATTTAGATATTTGAGTTGTGTGTTTAAATGTTTTCTATAGATTGGGAAATTGTGATAAATTACCACAATACCTTTAAATTATTCATAGATTACCCATGAATACTATCGGAATTTGTGAGATTATCAACAAATATTTTTTATGGAAATCTGTTGGTATTTCCAACTTTTTCAAATTATTATCAATGTAATTTATGACATTATCGATGTATTTTATCAGTGGGCTATTAATAGTTTTGAATTTTGTTAGTATTTACAACTTTTTTTTCACAAGTATTCTATTGGGTTCTATAAGCCATTTAAGTAATCTTCAATCTTAAACTCATATATGCATCGGTCAATCAATCATAGAGATGATCTAAACTTTTTTTTTTTTTTGAAAAGCGAAATTTTATTGAGATCTCACAAGCCAATATACTATCATAAGTCTTGAATCATGGTGATAGAAGACTTATAGTGGTATAAGAAGACTAGCTTTGGAGACTGAGAGTCCTTTAGAATTACCAAAGTTGTCAACTGCTCAAAAGCTAATTGATTGCACTAACTCTTTAATATGTCCTACACAAATAAGCCTAAGCTTTCTTACTGCAAAATAGCATACAACAAATGAAGGTGATTTGAATCATGATAAGGCAGATCATATATAGTGAAGTATTAAAATTTTAATCCCTTAAGCTATAGATTACCTTTTTTATAAAAAAAATTGAAACGATTAAGTTATGGATCACTTTAATTGAAACTAATCTAGCAAAACCACAAAAGATAGATTTCGACGTACTTGAAAGTTTGATGTTTGCTTTCTTTGATGAAGTCCTTCTTGAATTTTCATTTTTAACTTTTGTACACCAATTAGGGCTTATCAAACCATAGTAGTATAATCGTCTTGCATCTATTTGTGATCCACATAGTGATTTGTCAAAATCTTTTCATTAAGAGTGTATGAATCCCTAAGCCAAAGTTTGTGCTAGCAAACTCTTGACTTTGAGCTCTCTTGTGTTTGTCTCTTTTTAGCTATGATCTTATCTCAACACATGAAAAAATAAAAACAAAGCTCTTTTATACGTTCAAGAGGTGGTTAAAAGATTCTTTTATAAAGTGAATTGACCTAGTTCATATCCAACGAGGATTAGAAAATGTTATGGACTTATTAAGCCTTTATTTAATACTTTATCAAATCATATTTGATTTAAGCCACTACTAAATCAGATTAAACCTTTATAAAATCAATTAAATCACATCTAATTAAACTCAAAATAATTTTGACAATTCACCTTATGTGTGTGACCTATTTGGTGCCCAACATGTTGACAATAAATATAATTTAATTTAATTAAAAATTTATATTTATATTTATAGATCATGAGTAACATTTAGCAATACATCATGACCACTCGAATCTCAGGAGAGTCAAGATGATTTGATTTTTCTCTAGACTAGTCATTCATCTTTGCATGATTCATGTTATATCCAAAAGTACCTTGTTTAGGTAACTTGTTAACTCCAGACCCATAGAAGTAAAATCAAAACATGACAATTCACATATAAGATGACCTAGTATTACAAGTCTATAAATTACTTATACTACTAACAGTTTAGAGTATTTCTATAGACACTTAAAGTGAAATACCAAATGAAACTCTCAAGCTAGTCATGTTTAGTACACTTTTTCCTTAACAAGCATCCACATATTATCACTAAGTATCTCACATATTTCAACATATAAGATCAGTTACTTACTTCCAAAATAAAAAACACTTTAAAGACTAAGCATAATAAAAAACAAGCAAAAAGTCTTTTCAAATTTAAAAAATGCTTTCTATCGACAAATGTTTTTCATCTATCGATTGATATGCTCATCTACTAATAAATGAAGAAAATCTATCGATAGATGAAGAAAATTTATCAACAGTTGGTCATTTTAGCATTGGTACATCAAAGACTATAGGCATCTATCGATAGATACATGACATTTATCGATAGATAGTCAATTGAGAACAATATAAAAAGACCTTGACTTGCAGCTATCAATAGATGTGAAGCATGTATCGATAGATAGCTACCCGATGATACTTCAAAATGATCTTGAGTTAAATTTATTGGTAGATACTTATCTATCGATAGATTGGCGCAAATTTGAAAATTATTGAAGGTAATATATTGATAGATTGATAAATCTATAGATAAACGATATCCATTAGAGCTTGGAATAATGTGCTGAGTGGCTATTTTCACATTTAATGCATCTCCAATCACCGCTGAAGCTTTAACAACTATTAATTCAAGCTCCCACAACATTTATGAAAGTTAAAAAACTCCGAAACACAACTCTAAAAAGAATCAATTAAAATCATTCAATACTCTTTGTACTCTTCTTCTAACAGTTAAGTTTCTATTGTATCATTTATAGAGCATTGCTTGTTCTTTTTCTCACTAAATATTGTACTTAATTTGTTACCTAGCCTTTATGAGGCATTCTAGCTACACTTGTATTTTTCTCATTGTATTCACTTGAGTGGTTATACCTTAACCAAGATAAAAGGTAGAATAGTTGTGCTTTAATCATAAAAAACATTGTATTGAAAGGTTGTGTTTGATAAAAAAAAGACAGTGTATTGAATTTTATTTCAATAGTGAATTTTAAATTCTTTAATGAATCTAAGGGAAAAGACGTATGCAAGGAGGCCGAACCTTTATGAAAATTATTATGTTAATTTTTCTTCTTTTCTTACTCTTTTAATTTTATCTATGTTTGCAACCTTTCTCACTTTACAAAAAATCAATTTCTCTCTTATTTCAAATAGAAATTTAATTTAAAAAATTTTATTTTTCAAAATTAAAAAAAATCTTCAAAATTTTAAAAATATTCTAATTCACCCTTTCTTGAAATTATTCACATTTAGTTTATTGCATTAACACGTTTTAATTCAAATATTTGCTTTTTCAACTCTCCCATCATCCCTCTCACATCTTCACGTGTTGTCCGTCGCATTAACTTCTACTCACTCGAACTCCACCATCCTTTCTCTCTCTTCGCCGTTGTTTTGGCCATGACAGCCCTGCTTGCCAAGCCTCTATTTTAATGTGAATTTTGTCCTCGCCTTTGCTGTAGGTTCGGAGTCCACATCCTTTGCCACCCTAGCCTCTGCTTCAATGAATATTCTATCCGGAATATTGGCCCTGTTGTTGACTCTTACAAGGGCATGGGCTTGATTAAACCTTTTCCTCTTAAAGGTAATCTTGTCAACTGCCAGAAATCCCCCCAGCATTCACTAATGGCTTTAAAGGTGTTGACATGCCACATTCGAATAAAAACCTCCGATAGTCTTACTCATAATCTAACATCTCTCTCTTGGTTTGCTATTGACAGTGGTACGATCGAGTCAAACCATGCTTCAAAGATGTTTGCATACCCTTCCAACATAACCTCCATCTTTTCTTAATCTCCAGAGTTAAGAAGGATCGATCTACCCTTAATAACCCACACTTGGACATGAATCCCTTCACTCAACAGACTTTGTTCAACAATTCTACATGTTATTCCCGATTTAAGCTTCTTGACCGCACTGCTCTTAATCCATGTCATCTTTTCTTCGGGAGTAATGGTGTTGACCGTTACTACGCCACTACCGTTCTGATATATTTTTTTTTCTTTCCTTTTCCATATCCTGTTCTTTCCACTGATCCCCAACTCTTTGACTTTTTGGTTAGCTGCCCCAACAATCTCTTACTCACTTCACTAGTATCTTGAACTACACCTTTCTCTTTTCTAATCATATGACCTTTCCTTAGAACGTAAATGACACACTATCGCTCTTTATGTCTTTGTTTTCTGCTACATATGCCTTATTTCCTTCCCTCAGCGTCTTCTTTATTGGCTCCGCCTTTCTAACCATTACTCTTTTCCCATCTAGTCATTGATGGCCACCCCATTTCAGTGCTTTTTCTATCTTGAACCTCTCTCAATACCTTATAAAGGAAAAGTCAGCGGTTATTTCCTTATCCTGGTAACTCTTCCTCAAAACGAAAACATCCACCACTTTGTGATACTCTTCGATGGCGCCTTTGAGTGTCGACCAGGTCACTTTCTTTGCTGAGGATGTAAACAAACACTGAGTACATGCTATCTAGCCATGTTCACTCTCCCATTGCTTGTAAACAGAAACCTTTGACTAGCTCTGTTGGCTTCCCAGATTAGCTTGGACATCCATGGCTGAAGACTTTTGAATCTGTTCTCAGAACCACTTTCCTTTCTACTCGATGGAAACACCTCTAGACGAAGTCTTTTTGGTGGTGATCCGAACTGATTAATAATTTATGTAGTGTTCAATTCAAGGAAATATGAGAAATATTAGCTATGCTTTTTTTAAAATGAAAAATTATAAGCAAAAAATGAAGTATTATATCCCAATGGAACTAAACTTAACTGATGAATGAATTATAAATTATTCACGGAAGATTAATTTAATTGACAAATTCATTCATTAAGATTTGAATCTTACTGTGATGTTTCATTTGATTCTAACATTTACCTTTATTAGGTATGATCTTAAAAAATTAAATAATTTATCTATTCCGAATTTTGTGAAAAAAGATTTTTTTTTTGAAAGGTTACGTAAAAAGAATCTTGAATGAATAAATCAATTGACAGAAAAAAAAAAAGGCAGCTTTAAAGGTTAGTATTGCTGATCAACGGTCACTTCAATGTTTGAATTCATCAACCTGAAAACTTCTAACGCCTGTGATTCTCTCTCATTCATCTTGTTTTTCTCTGCCTGTTTCTGTACGAAGTGGCGGTGGGTGGGTGGTGTGGGTGGGTGGGCTGAATAATTGAATAGGCTTGTCAAAAAATCAATCAATCTTGTTGACTATATATGCAATCATCTAGATAAGATGCAGGAACCCTTTCTTAGTGATTTAATTAGGAGTTAGGACTCGGTTGTTTTCTTCATCAATTTCATGAATTGGATGGACATACATCGTCTCATGTTCATATACTTTACAGTAAACTTTATAAATGCAGTCAGAAATTTCTTTTGAGCAGTAAGAAAACGGTCCCAAGAAATCCAACGAAATTAATATCCCTTAAAATGATATAGTTTGGGGTATTGATATATAGCTTTCAACAAAGTATAGATATATCATCTCCATATTCTTAAAAACAAATTGAAATGGAGTTTACATTATAATTTTCTTAAACCAGTATTCGCCATTTCACTCAAGAATATCTATCTATAACTCTTGGAAAGTGCCAGCTATAGGTTTTGTACTTATGTATAGACAGATATATGAACGAAAAAACAAAGCAGTTGGCACACTTTTGTCAATGATTATAATTAAAACCACAAAGATGTGAGCGTACTTGAAAGCAACATTGGACTCGCTCTAGACTCTAGAGTAAGGTCTTGGGTTAACATGTATGGCCTTTTTCTTTTCTTTTTTTAATTTAATACAGTTTTTGATTCATCAAATGAGATCAGTTAGTTCAATTGGAAATTAATTCGTCTTTCTCGAACTAAATAGTTCTGGATTACAGTCTAATTACTAGTGCATCCCTTAACCTTAATGTAAATGTATGTATTTTTGTAACATTAGTTTCGGAGACTGCGCAACCTTTGATTTCTTTGTATGTATGGTCAACAGCAATGTTGATGTATCCCCCTCCCTACAGCAATGAAGGATTGAAGGCTTAAGGTAGACCAATGGAATAACAATTTACAGGGCATCAGATACTAGTGTAAGCCAGCTGTGTGCATGGATTGAAATTAAACCTTCGATCTTTTCAGATATCACACGGTACGCGTAGCGAAATAATTGTATGATTCCAAATTCCAAATGATTCGAGTTCAGTCACCTTGATGTCATATCTCCATTAGCTGTCAGGACCCCCCACCCCACATACTATTTCATCTAAACCCCAAGTCAACCTCAATTTATTTCTTAACAACTTCAACAAATATCGTAATTTTCCCTTTTCCCATACTTAATCTCCACTATATATAGATATATTCCTCCCCTTTCATTTCACTCAATTCAACAGCACCATCCCTTAGTAATCATAATCTCTCCTATACCAAACATGTATTTCCGAACTAGTAAGACAGTTCTGCTTATTAGTGGTGTTGTGTTTACTCTTTTGGTGTCGGCTTTGGCCGGTAACTTCAACCAGGATTTTGACATCACTTGGGGTGATGGCCGTGCCAAAATACTTGGCAATGGCCAGCTTCTCACGCTTTCTCTCGACAAAACCTCTGGCTCTGGATTCAAGTCCAAGAAGCAATACTTATTTGGGAAAATCGACATGCAGTTGAAGCTTGTGCCTGGCAACTCCGCCGGCACCGTCACCGCTTACTACGTAAGTTCATTGGCTTCATCGTCCCCTCTCCAGCTCGAAAAATTAAGTTATAAATAAATAAATCATATTTCACAAAAATTGTGTATTTGAGACTAATCATAAAATAAAAGTGTTATTCGAGTAAAGCTGTAAAGAGAATCAAATAGCGTTTGACATACTTAACATAAGAACTTGTCAACTTCCTCTTTCATGTTCTTAGTCTTGTCTTTTCCATTATTTTTTCAGCTTCTTTCTCTTTCACACTTTTTTCTTTTTATCTTAGCCTATTGTTACGTTAGTTTTATTTTAATAATTAATTGATGGTGTATCTTAATAGATTATTAAATTTTGATTTATACAATTTCCTAATTATGTAACTAATTAAACAATTACTTTTTTCACTGAGGTTACATGTATAAGCGGAGATGATTACAATCACAAATCAAATAACCCTTAATTAACATGTATAACATAGCCATGCATCCTGTATTATGACATTAAAACAATGTAAATTGAGCATTTAATTAATAAACTCACTAACATTCTGCATATAGCTAGATAAATTAGTCCAACATAAAATTAAATCAAACCTAGACATGGTGAAACTTCAATTTAAAACTTAAAAGGTTTCATAACCTCCTCCTTACTATTTAAAGAAGGCCTCATTGATATTGAGTACTAATATAATTGGTTGATGGGAGGACATACACACATACACACACATATATATAATAATTTGTTCTAATATTATTTTTATTATTGAAAACTAAAATTTTGATATTTATGCATTACATAAGACACATATATTATAAATTGTAATCATTATAAATATACTTGTTAAAAAATGGAACACTCGAGCATTTAATTAATTAATTAATTATAATTTTTTATTTAAAAAGTAAGATTCGAAATTTTTTTTCTATTTTATTTTTGTTTTAAAAAAGAATGGAGGCTTGTCATTTTCTTTACATGTTTATCATTTTTGCCAAAGTTGTGAATTTGATGATGTTTTGGCATGCAGCTGTCTTCATTGGGTTCCACCCATGATGAGATAGACTTTGAGTTTCTTGGTAACCTAAGTGGAGACCCCTACATTCTCCATACCAATGTATTCATGCAAGGGAAGGGAAATAGGGAGCAGCAATTTTATCTTTGGTTTGACCCCACCAAGGACTTCCACACCTACTCCATCTTGTGGAATCCTCAAAGCATTATGTAATTCCCTCTCTCTCTTCACTGTCACAATGGCCCCTACTTGTCACCATGGCAAAGCCCCATTAATGATTTATTGTATCTTGTGTGTTGTCTTATTATTCCTTTCAGCTTCTACGTTGACGGGACTCCGATTAGAGAGTTCAAGAATTTAGAGTCCAATGGCATCCCTTTTCCCAAGAGCCAACCGATGTGGATATACTCCAGCCTTTGGGACGCCGAAGAATGGGCCACAAGGGGTGGCCTTGTAAAGACCGACTGGAGCCAGGCGCCATTCACCGCTTCGTATCAAAACTTCAACGCCCAAGCTTGCATTTGGGCTTCAAATTCCTCTTCTTGCTCTTCCAATTCATCCAAAAACTCTTGGTTAACACAATCGCTGGATAGCTCCAGCCAGGCCCGAATAAAATGGGTGCAAAAGAACTACATGATATACAACTACTGCACCGATGCCAAACGATTCCCGCAAGGATTCCCTCCAGAATGCTCACTAGCATGATCAAAACATATATAAATGTATGAATCATAATCTTCTGAGGCCTTTAATCGTTACAATCTAGGCTGTCTAAATTAGATTTCATGCAATAAAAAAAGCCAAGTTGAATTAAATCTTTGGTGTAAAAGTGAAATGATTGAGGAAAGGCATGACCAGTCGGCTAACTCCCAAATAACAACAACTAAAAGACACAGCTCATATGCATCGGTATAAACCCGACAACTTTTATGTACATTATGGGTCTATGGGGAGTACAACACAAACTCATTATTATAATTTGTAATTGATTATCAAGAATTTCATATTAATAAATATTGAGATAAATCTTAAACATATAAATATAATTTTTTTTATTAATCCAATATGTTTTTTAAATTAAAAATATATATTCATAATAAATTAGATCAAAGTAGATCAAAATTTTATTAATGAGTGATTGTCATAAACAATACTTCATAAGAGATATAAGAATCGAAATAAACTTGAAATAATATAAGGATTCTTTCTTCTATAAATAAAGAGTTTGTATATGTTATATAATTAATGAGGTAAAATGTTATGAATTTCATATTAATAAGAGATGAGATGAATTTTAAATATATAAATATAAATATTTTTTATAATATATTTTTTAAATTAAAAACATAAAAATGTGACATCGGTGCCATTGCTAATCAAGACCCTCATTTAAATTGAAATCATGAGTTCTAACTTCTAATTATTAATATTTTTTACAGTCATTTAATTCTGCGCGTTAAAAAAATGAATAAAAATAAAAATTAATATATATATCCGACGCCGTTAGCTACATTTGACCTATAAGTTCAAGCGTGTTTGTGCGTGGCACGTCCGAATCCAACGTCCCATAAGGATTTATGACTCCTAAATCGATAATCTCCACCGTACGGTACTGTCTTCAATTGAACGGTGATAAAAAACCCTTTCTCCGCACTTTTCCACCGCTACGGATACAAAATTGCTTTATTTTTTTTTAATTTCCTCCAAAATTCCAGTAGTTTCTCTGCTCCAAAGAACGACTTATTAATCTTAGAGGTATTTTTTTTCAAGTGTTTTTTCCTTTGACTCTTTGGGTTTCGATTGGATCGTGCACACCTTCAATTAATTGTTTAACCTTTCAAATTTCTTCAATTAATTGGATATTTTCTGATTTTTTTTATCTAGACCGCTGTAGCTTAATTCAAACACTTTGGGGTTTGCATTTTTTAGGGTTTTTTACATTTGGGCATCTTTGATTTTTACGGGTAAGTTGAGATTTGGGTTTCAAAAATTCCTCTGTTGAAACCTTTTTGAGCCTTTGGATCAGGGAATTTAGGTTTACACCATTTAATTAATAGTTTTAGGTTAAAATTCATTCATTTTATGGCATTTGAATGCCAAGAAAGCACTGAGGTTGTTAAGAATTGGGCAAATTGTACTGAATCAAATCATTTTAGTTCCGACCAATTAACTGAAGATTTCGAAGTTTCGAAACGTTCATTGGATTTTCAGCCTAGGAAGGGAATTTCAAGTTTTTGTAATTCAAAACAGTTTGCTCCCAATGATGTTTTTTCCAATGTACGGCGGTCAATCACTGATCTCCCACCAGCCTTAATATCGGAAATTTTGAATTGTCTTGATCCTAAAGAGCTTGGTATAGTGTCATGTGTGTCAACAACTCTCCATAATATAGCGTCTGAGCATCAAGTGTGGAAGGATTTTTATTGTGAGAGGTGGGGGTTACCGATTGCCCCGGCACCTTTGGGTGTAGGGTTTTCGGATGAGAAGTCATGGAAGGAATTGTTTGTTGAGAGGGAGTATAGGAGTAAGACGTTTTTAGGGAGGTATAGCATTGATGGTTTATATGGTCATACTGAAGCTGTTCGAACTGTGTTTTTATTGGCTTCTGCAAAGCTCATTTTGACGGCTGGATATGACTCAGTTGTACGAATGTGGGATATGGAAGAGGGGTTGTCGATAGCGTCATCACGATCCCTTGGTTGTACTATTAGGGCAGTTGCAGCAGATACTAAACTATTGGTTGCTGGGGGCACTGATGGCTTTATCCATTGTTGGAAGGCAGTTGATGGTCTTAAGCATTTGTTTGACCTTAAGGGTGTTGAGAAACAGAACACTGAGTTTCGACTTTGGGAACATGAGGGGCCTATAACTTCTCTTGCTTTGGACCTTAATAGGATATATAGTGGTTCTTGGGACATGACAGTTCGTGTCTGGGATCGGTCATCACTGAAGTGCACACAGGTCTTGAGGCATGGTGACTGGGTTTGGGGCCTTGTTCCTCATGACACGACTGTTGCAACCACATCAGGTTCGGATGTGTTTGTTTGGGACACTAATAGTGGGATTCTGTTAAATGTTATTCACAATGCTCATGTTGGTAACACTTATGCCTTGGCACGAAGCCACACTGGAGATTTTCTTTTTACCGGTGGAGAGGATGGGGCGATACACATGTTTGAGATCACAAATGAGTCTGAAGAACCTACTGTTGTGCAGGTTGCAACATGGTTTCCTCACTCAGGTGCTGTTTATTCCCTTGCATTTGAGTTTCCCTGGCTTGTTTCTGCTTCCAGCGATGGGAAACTTGCACTAATTGATGTTAGAAAGTTGTTGAGGGCCAGCAGGCGCTCCTTGGGGAAAAGGGTTTCAAGGGTGAAAAACATTGACCGAAATGATGTAGAGCCACCCCAGAGAATGCTGCATGGATTTGGGTGCAATCTATTCTCAGTTGATATCGGAGCAGATCGAATTGTCTGTGGTGGTGAGGAAGGTGTTGTTCGTATTTGGAACTTCTCACAAGCTTTTGAAATTGAGCAGAGGGTACGTGCTCAAAGAGGCATGCGTTTGGAGAACCGGATGAGGCGGCGCAGGCTTCAAATTGAGATGAATAGTAAGGGTGGTCGAACCGATCAATGTTCTGTTGCTGCAAAGAAGAATCCAGTGAATGGTGAAAGGAATGGTCTGTGGCACAGTAAACGCAGTATAAGTTCGAAGGTGAAGACATAACAGCTTATAATACATACTTTATGCCTCCAGGCTTCCAACATAATCTTCTTTGTTCTATCATAACAAATTGATACACAAATATCTTTCAAAATGTTTGGTTAACTATAGTCTTCTCTTTTAGTTAGCCTTGGATTTTAATCTCGTTCATATGAACTTGCATTTTGATCTTTTTAACATGAGTCCTGGATTTTAAACGCTGTTCCTCTGATATTTCTGATAGCTCAGCCTTGTTCTTGTGGTTGCTTTGATAGGGAAGTTGGAGTCCATTGTTGTTGGCATTGTATTAGAACGACTGTTACAGTTTACATGCCTTTAATTTTCTATGAATTTTCTCTAATAGCAGGCATGGGCACACTTTTCTAAATGTATGAGAATTAGATTATACTCCATAATGAATATCTTTGAGGCAGGAAATGCATGGTAGTCAGCCTGAATTAGTCTTTTCAAGGTCCTCTCCCTCCCCAAAACAGCAGCTCCATTTCATTTCTTTTCCTAGAAGCGATTACCATGCAGGGATGTCAGGTTATTGGATGCATTGAGCTTACATATGCAATGATATGTCAATCATGACTAAAGCTAATTTAGGGTTCATTTTCTGGAGAGTTATTGTTTTGTACTCTTTTATTATATTGATGAGGTCAGAGCATGGATTGAGTCGCAGAAGAAGTCAGGTTTGTACTAGAGATTCTTCTCTGTAGGGAGCAAAATTTAGGATTCAACTCTCCTTTTTTTCCTCCTAGAGGAAGAGAGAGTTGGTATTAGGCTTTTGTAAGTTAGAAATGCTTTATGTGCGAATGGAAGATCGCAAATTTCTTTCTGGTGACTGTTGATGGAAGATTGCATTTGGCTGGCTCCTAGGCAGTTGCTTTTTCTGTTCTGAATTGATGGAAATCGGACATGCTGCAAACGCTCCTGCCCTTTTAGAAAAATTACAACATAAATTTAACATGATTAATGCCCGTATTAAGCCAATGGTTTTATATTGAAATCCAAAGAGAACTCATTTGTGAGCTTTATCCTTACTGTGTGAATATGATCTCTCGGAAATAATGAAAAAGGATCACGATTTCAGCTGCTAAAACATGAGTAAGTCTGGCCACTTTGGACATCTCAATTGTTTCTAAGCTAACAATTCTAACTTGTTAGCCCATATACATAATTGAATCATTAATTTCCTCATTTCAACTTTATCTCATTCTGATAATAAGGAAAATGAAAGAGCAGTCCTTTCCAACTGGAAGCAACCAGAGAGCAGGATTTAACTTTCTGGCCCGAAACACCATCTGGGGCCGGGCTCCATCTTGAGCACTTGGAGTCCCATGTTTCGTACGAGCT